ATAACCCAGCAATTTCAATTCCAGATATATACTCAACAGAAATGCGTGTACGTGCGCACCAAAAGTCACGTAGGAGAATTTTCATAGGAGCGCTATTCGTTCTGGGCCTGAACAGGAAACAGTCAACGTGGACGTGCATGGAACAGAACACTAGGTTACGGTTAATTCATATGGAACTGCAGCTACTCGCAGCGTGGATAAAAATCTTACCACAATTCCACTTATGTTTAAGCCAGAACAGTAGTTATCCTTGGGAAGGAGGCAAATGGAGGCTTCTGGAGTGCTGGTAATGGTTTTCTTCTCTGGCTGCTGGCTATATGGATGTGGTCTCTTTGTATTGTTTGACGAATCTTCTCACACTTTGGATGTGCATGTTTTTATATGAATGCTACGTATCAATAAAATCTTTACCAAAATAATAGAAAAACATTTGGAGGGGCGGGCCCGGTGGGGCAGCGGTTAAGTTCGTACGTTCCGCTTCTCGGCGGCCCGGGGTTCACTGGTTCGGATCCTGGGTGCAGTCATGGCACCGCTTGGCAAAAGGCATGCTGTGGTAGGCGTCCCACGTGTAAAGTAGAGGAAGATGGGCATGGATGTTAGCTCAGGGACAATCTTCCTCAGCAGAAAGAGGAGGATTGGCAGTAGTTAGCTCAAGGCTAATCTTCCACAAAAAAAAAGAAAAGAAAAAAGAAAAGCATTTGGAGTAACAGAAAGCTACTTGAAAGTAACATATGCTCAGTGAGACTTTTTTGAGTAATTTTAATACTTTATATATTGCCTTACTTTAAAAATTATTGAGCATGTAGTACACTTATCATCAGATAAAGTCAATGATGCTATTTTTATTTTGGCTGTGCTACTTCTAAATATCTCTATTTCAGCAACTTGTCAGAAAAAACCTCGTCTCGTCCTTCAATAGAACAAATACTGTGGATTCTTCACAAATTAAGGTTGACTCTAATTCCTCTTAAAAAGAAATAAAAACAGTGAGACATGAGTCTAAATTCAGCTGCAGAGAAAAATAAAAGCAAATGGGAAAGTATAGTGTGGAGATACGAGTTCAGACCCTAGAATTAATGTTTTGGTTCAAATCTCACCCACCCCCACGCCCTAGTTCTATGACCTTAGCAAGTCCCTTATGCCCCAAGCACCCTATTTAGGTGCTTGGCACAGGACCCCGTATGTGATACAAGCTCTAATACATACATACATAGCTAATATTACCCCCATATTCTGAAAGGCAGAATGACAGAGCAACTACCCTTTAGATAGTAAAAGGTTATTTATGAAGGTAGTAAAAACATTGTGTTGGCATACAGACAAAGGGGCACACAGAGAAGAACCCTATTAAATGTATTTGTTTGCCAGGACTGCCGTAACAAAATAACCGACCGGGGGGCTTAAACAACAGAGATTTATTTTCCCAAAGTTGTGGAGGCTACAAGTCCAAGATCAAGGCATCAGCAGGTTCAGTTTCTCCTGACGCCTCTCTCCTTGGCTTGCAGATGGCTGCCTTCTTGCCGTGTCCTCACAAGTCTTTCCTCTGCACTCACACGTGTCCATATTTCCTCTGCTTCTAAAGGCATCAGTCACATGGGATAAGGGCACACCCACATGACCTCATTTTACCTTACATACCTCCTTAAGGGCCCTCTTCTCCAAATACAGTCACCATTCTGAGGGACTGGAGTTAGGACTTCAACGTGTCACCGTGTGCAAAGAATGGAAGGAGTGCGGGACCGTTCAGTAACTGTGTGTGTGTGTGTGTGTGTGTGAGAGGAAGACTGGCTCTGAGCTAACTTCTGTTGCCAATCTTCCTCTTGTTTTTCTCCCCAAAGCCCCAGTACATAGTTGTATTTCCTAGTTGTAAGTCCTTCCAGTTCTTCTATGTGGGATGCCGCCACAGCATGGCCTGACCAGTGGTGCATAGGTCCACACCCAGGATCCGAACCGGTGAACCCTGGGCCGCCAAAGCGGAGCACGCAAACTTAACAACTCAGCCACGGGGCCAGCACCCTTGTAATTTAATTTGGGATAATTTTCGGAGAATTGAAACAAGTTTAAACATAACCCTATTCCTCCAAGTAACAGTCATAAATGTTCAATGGCTTTGTAGGAATCCCACTAGAAAAGAATCTGTAGAAGCATGTATGTATATTTTTAAAGATCGGCACCTGAGCTAACATCTGTTGCCAGTCCTTTTTCTTCTTCTTCTTCTTCTCCCCAAAGCCCCCCCAGTACATAGCTGTATATCCTAGCTGTACGTCCTCCTGGCTCTGCCATGTGGGACGCCACCTCAGCGTGGCCCAAGGAGCTGTGCCAGGTCCGAACCCAGGATCCGAACTGGCGAAACCCTGGGCTGCCAAAGCGGAGCCCGTGAACTTAACCACTCGGCCACGGGGCCCACCCCAAAACTATAGAAATATTTATCAAATTTCTACAGAAGGAGAAAAAGCAGGAGTTCCTAAAAAGCAGGGGCTTAAACGTAAGGGGGTGGGGGGGGTAAGGGGGACAAATTTCTCATATGCGAAAAAAAAACCTGAGAAGGGCTGGAAAATATTGGTTATAATAGACAACTGTTTGTTACAGAACGCTTATGGAGATGACAAAAATCCTTATCTTCTGAGTTGAAAGAAGTAATGGTGAGAATGAATGCAAAAAAGTGTAAAGGCATTTTACAAAAACGCGAAGCGAAGCAGGAAAACATTCAATATCATTCATAATCGAAGCAGCACGTTTTAAAAGGCCCGTGCAGGTGTGTGTTTAAAACCCTTGCAGACAGCTAGAGTCTGTTACTGCTAAGGGGTGAAGAAACCGCATGAGGCAAATCCACTCCAACGTTGTGTCTGAAGCCACACAGCCCTTGGCAACCTCTCCCCCAGAATTCTGCTTCCTGAAAGGGGACGCAGCAAGGGGTGGGAGCTGGTTTGCACAAACCGCCCACAGCATTGTAACGGGTAAGGGGAAAGCCACCCAGCCTTGCAGGCCTCAGGGGAGAAGGAGGCAGCGGGCTCGGCAGCAGGATACCCCCTCTCCACGGCTGGATCCAGGCACCAGCAGAATGACTGCCGGCAGCCTCAGCCTGCGTGTTGGAACACCCGCCGCTGCGCACGGAGGGAGGCTCCACTCCAAGAAGAAAAGGCACACTCGCTGCCATCCTCAGGGGCCAAACCCCCGGCTTCGGCTTCGGAAGGGTGGCCCTCAGAGGGGAAGCACCGGTATTACCCACGAGCTCGTCAGCTGTGCGAATTCATGGGCCCAGGGTACGGAATCGGCGTCACGGAGCAGCAGCCTAGGAGACCGTGTTAGCAAGCTCTCAAGGTGCTTCTGGCCCCTTTTAAAGTCTGAGAACGAATGATGCAGAAAACCCAAAGCAGACTGCCCCTGCGTCTCTGCCCCGGTACCTGAGGGCCTGACTCTGACCATAAAAGCATCACGGGGTTAGGAGTTTCAAAACAGCAGAAACCAAGAGGAGAAAAACAACTAGAACCACTACCTATCAGCCTCTTACCCCGCCACGTCAGGACGTGAATGAACAGAGTCAGTCTTTCATAAATTCGTTAGTTGTAAGTGAGCAAAGAGCAAAAGGGAAGCTCATTTCTTTACTAGAATGACACTACAAACTCACGTTCGCATCAAAATAATGGAGCCACTACCGGAAGAGACGCAAGCCAGAAGGCTGGAGATGTCGCGTACACCTGCTTCTCCGAAGGGATCCGGCAAAAGCAGGCCTGTTCCCACAAGGCTCCCGGCAGCGCTCAGACGACAAGATGCGCGGGAGGCTGCGGCCGCGGCGCCCGGGCCTTCAAGAACGCCTCCAGCTGCTCCATCTTCTCCCCTGGAGGAGGGAAAGCGCTCGGGGCTGTCCACCCCTCCGTCCTTGGGGCGGAGGGGGCGGTGGAGCCGCAGCACGCTCGCTCAGGGCAGAGGGTCGAACCCGGGGTGTGGACACCACGGCCTCAGCAGGCTGAGGCTGGCCGGGGCGGCGCGGGGCCAGAGCGCGCGCGGTCCCGGCGCAGGTGCCCGAGGGCCCGCTCGGCCTCCGCTCGCCCAGGGCCGCCCAGCGGCGGCGCGCCGCGCCCGGAGCTGGAAGCCGCGGGAAGCTCCGGGTGGCTCCGAGAGGCCGTCGGGAAGCCAGGTGCGGCCCAGCGGCCGGCCCGCGGCGCCCCCCTCCCGCAGGGCTCACGGACCCTCACCTCGGGCGCGCCGTTCCCAGTGCCAGGCCGCGAGGCTCCGCAGGACGCCCTTCACCCGATTTTGTCCGTGGGGCTGTCCAAAGACGCTGACTTCGACCGCGCCGCCGGGTTCGACCGCGCGCACCGTCAGCAGCACCTGGCTCCTCCACTCCGTCTCGGGGACGGCGGCTCGGTCGGGGCCTAGGCGGGAAGAGAGCGCCGCTGAGGGGCGCGCGGAAGGGCGAGGGGAGCCGGCCCGGCCTCGGGGAAGGCTGCCGGGGCGGGAAGAGCTGCAAGCCGCGCCCCGGGGCTGCACACGCGGCCCGCGAGCCCGCCCGGCCGAGACACTGTGGGGAGCTGCTCCGCTCGGCTGCCCTCCCAGCGCGGACGCCGTCCCGCCGGCAGCGCGGGGCCGCTCACCGAAGACGCAGCCGGCCAGCCGAGCCTCCAGGTAGCACGCCGACGGGCAGCTCAGCTCCCGCGCGGGAAACCACCACGGCCGGGGCCGAGCCCGCGGGGTCGGAGGCGTTCGCCGCAGCAGCCCGGCCAGGGCCTCAGCAGGCGTCCGCCCCTCCCCGCGGGCCCTCGCAGCCGCTGCCGCGTCCACCGCGCGAGCACAGCGACCCAGGGGCAGGCCGACCCGCCGCCCCGCACCCCGCACCCCGGGAGGCCAGTGGCCAGGGCCCTTCTCTGTTGCCGCCGGGCCCCGCCCCTCCGCCGGGCCCTCCCCCGTCCAAAGGACGGGCCCCGCCCCTCCCGCCGGTCCCGCCCCCGCCCACTCGACGGGCCCCGCCCCTCCCACCGCCCCCTCCACTCGACGGGCCGCCCCTTGACCTGGGCGCCTGGCCCCAGGCCCAAGTCGCGGGCGTCCTGCCCCTCCTGTCGCTGGGCCTGGGCCGTCCTCTGTGACCTGGAGCTGCTGTGTGTTTGAGCTCCTGCCGGGTCTCGGAGGCTGTCGGTGGCCGTCTGCTCCAAATGGGCCGTCGCTTAGCTTCGGAGGCCCTGCCGCTGAGCGCGGCTGGTCCAGTGGGGCGGTCGCTCGCGCCCTCGTGGCCGGGCGTCGCTGGGATGCCCGTCGAGGCTTCGCGTCCCCCCTGGGCGGGCGGGGAGGCCTGCTCGCGGGGTTTCCATTTTGTCTCTTGCGCTCCCCGTTGTCTTCTGACTCGCTGGTTGGCTAGGACTTTAAATTAGCCGTTCAAGCAAGTGCGCCGTGTTTTAAAATGTAAACAGCGGAGCGGTCAGTACAGAAAACTTAGCAAGTACGGACAAATCCCACCTGTTTCCAATATCCTAAGACTAGTGTTGATGCGCGTTTCTTTCCAATGTTCTTAATTTTAATTAAAAATTTAAATTATTAAAGATTTCACACATTCAAAAGAAGTTACGTAACAAACACCCATGTACCACCCTCCCCCATTTGCCTCACTTCTCTCTCCTTTCTGTTTTGGTGAGGAAGATTGGCCCTGAGCTAACATCTGTGACAGTCTTCCTCCACTCTGTATAGGGATGCCACCACAGCGTGGGTTGATGAGCGGTGGGTGTGTCCGCACCAGGGACCTGAACCAGCGAACCCTGGGCGGCTGAAGAGGAGCGTGGGAACATAACCACCCTGCCGCCGGGATGGCCCCATCGCGTCTGGCTTGCTTGAAATAGGTATCAGTAAAGCATCCTTTCTTTCCCTCCCCATGGGAAATCATTGTCCTGAAGCTGGTGTGTATCATCCCACGCGTGTTCTCAGACTTTTTCTAGTGAATTTGTAGAAATAGTGTTTGCTAGCTGTTTTAGAATAGATAGCATCTGCTGTGCTGTGCAAGCTGTTTTGTTCTTACAGTTAGCTATAATGTGTTTGCTTTTAAAAATCTTTTTAAGGGAACATTCCGATCATTTTCATAAGGGGGTTGGTGTTAATATCCTGAATTTCCTCATCCTCATCCACATCACCTAAGCGTCAACAGATATCAGTAGATAATCTCTGAGAGGAGAAATTGAATCTAACTTTAGTGGATATTTTTATTTCTTCAATTTAATTTAAAAAATCGACGTCATAATACACGCACATGGTAAAAAAGTCTTGAGGCTACGAAGTAATTGTGGAAATTCTCCCTTTTATGTATTCTCCCTCAATCTCTTGCTAATCTTTTTTCAGTTGTGTGTATTGTGAATATCTTCCTAATTCAAATTATATTTCACTTCCTCTAAGGTTTCTTTTGGTGAATAAAATTCTTAGTTTTAATAGTCAAATTTGTCGGTCTTTATAGAAAGTGCCTTCTGTGTCTTGCTTAAGAAATCTTTCCCTGCCCTGAGGTCTAAAGATATTCCCTGTACTTTCTACTAAGAATGCTGACGTTTCTATCTTAACATTTACATCCTTGAACTATCTATCTGGGTTTTTTTGTTTTTTTTTGTAAACAGGTGTAAGGCAGGGAGATAATTTTATCTTTTTATAAATTGGTCGTTTTTCGCTCGAGCCAATCTCTTGGGGATGCATCCACCTGGGGCCACTTCCAGTTATCTCCTTGAAGTTTTTCAGACTTCTACATGTGGCATGAGTTAGCCACAGGGCCGATTTGTGGTAATTAATTATTAGGTCAAGACTTACTTGAGAAAGGCGTGGTCAAGACAAATTCCTTTGCCACTCCATCTGCATGGCAAAGTTTGTCTCTGATTTAGTTTTATTTTGGAAGTAGAGCCATTTGGAGTCGTGGCTTTATGCGGAGACCCCGCATTAAGTTTCCCACATTTGGCAAGCCCTGAGTTTTATTTACTGACCCCATGCCAGCTTCAAAGCAGAATCACAGAGTTGTTAGGATTTAGCAGAATCCGCCAAGGTGGAGTCAATTTTGTCATTCTGTTACCTCCAAGGCTTCCTGATTTGGCTCTGATTGAGGGGACGTGGCTTGAATACCGGCTCCAACATCTTCTCGCTGTGTGACTGAACGGGGCAAGTTATTTAAACTCTCTGCACCCCATAAAGTAGAACCAAACGTCCCACCGAGAAGACTTCCGGCACATCGCATCGCGTGCTTCCATTTTCTGTGCGTAGTCCTGGGGGACGCAGTCTGAGGGCCTTTGGGTTAAGATAATGAAGTATGTGAGTGAATTGGTTTCGTAATTTCTCATTGAGAAGCTTTGTTCTTCGTTAGTTACTTCACTTCTTAGACTCTTTAACTCTGAAGATAAAATCTCTATACAGTGAGAAATATGCAAAGCATAATGAAGACATAACACTTTGCACCAAATATTAGCATCAAAATGCGTGTGTGTATGTCAGAGATAGTTAGAAAGAATGATTAAAATGAGGAAAGTAAACTAGTAAGGAGACATTTAACAAGTCACTGTCAGAGCAGGAGCAATCATGCAGAAAAAGAATACGCAAAAGCCTACTAGTTCTGAACAATATCTGGCACTCTTCTGAGGTTTAGGGGCATTTACAAACAGTAACTGTCCACTCGTTCCCTCAGATGGGTGGGTGGACGGCTGCAGGGGTGCATGGATAGATGCAGGGTGGGTACGTGGGTGGATGGGCAAATAAAGGAGGAGACGCCGTGCCATACTGCTAAACAATATTCAAGTAAAGTAAATGAAAATCTTCACTGACAGGCTATTTAGAATACAAGGATAATTTACAAAGAGCATTTCTTTATGGACAGTATCCATTCGGCAAAACCTAGTTTTCAACCCCATCTCATCTATCCTATGCCCTCCTCCTCAATATTAGTTAACTATTATTAGTGTTTGGATTATCCTTTCATTTAAAAAACATTTTGTGTAAGTATCTGGGAATTTTTGCTTCTACCTTTTTGGTAATTTTACATGTATTTTATTATACTTTTCCCACTTTTATTAAGCTTTTCCCACTATCTTTTCATTTTGAAAAACTTTAAACCTATGGAAAAATTGTAAGAACATTAAACTTATACTCTACACTTTTCATTTAGTTTTGCCAGTCTTTAACATTTTGCTTCATCCATTTTATCTCTCTACCCACATGTGCTTTTTCATGAATGATTTGTGAGTTAAATTGCGGACGTCATGACGCTTTACTCCAAGTACTTCAACATCATCTCCCAAGAACAAGGACATTCTCCTACATAGCCATATAAAAAATTATTCACTCAGAAAACTTAACATTGATCCAATGCTCTGTCTAATATGCAGTCCAAGTTTAATTTCCCCAATTTTTCCAATAATGTACTTGGTAGCTATTTTTTAAAAGTCTCTAGTTCAGTCAAGGAGCGTGCACTGCATTTACTTGTGATGTCTCTAGTCTCTTTTAATCTAGAATCACTCTCTGTTGTTCTTCTAAAAATCTTTAATGACACTGATATTTTTGAGATATTTTAAATTCTTTACTGTGGGAAATTTCAAACATACAAAAGTAGAGAAGATCGTACAAATGAATGGCCGTATGCTTATTACACAGCTTCAGCAAATAGCAACTCATGAATTATCTGTGTGAAAATAAACACAGAGCACCCAAACGGGAACAAGCAAAGGCCATTTATTCTGACCTTGCTATATATAGCAAGGGAGTCAGCCACCGTCACTTGTGTTTATCAGAGACTCAAAGGCAGGCGAAGGAGTGGGAAAACTTTACAGAGGAAGAAAGAGAAGGCTTCAGGTACGCCTGAAGGAGGAGGCTGTTGGCATGGGGAAGCCATAGCTGGGCTAAGTAGAAGCACGGCATTATCTGTGATTGGTTAGAGGTGAATATTTGGGCTTCTCCAGTTGGTTCTAAGTTGCAATTAAGGGCAAACACTAGGGAAGCTATCACTTACTAACCAAGTCTTGGCCATTTGGTGTTCACTGCCGTAGAGTTTGTTTGGCTTCCTAGACTGAGTGCTGTGGACTGTGGGTCAGAGTTCCATTTTTGTCTTCGGTCTAGCCATTGCCCATTTGTACATTCGGTCTCTCAGTCCCGGCTCCTGGCCATTCTCTCATCGGTGAGAGGTTGACCAATTCAGGAAAAGCTAGAAATCTGGATCTGCTTAGAGATTGTTCAGTTGTCTTCACAGCCCACTGAACTGCAAGATCTTCTTGCCCTTTCTGTTGTATCACCCTGGAGATCATCTGATGAGGGAGTGACTGTATAGAAGCATTTAAGACTCTGGATAGAATGCGTCAAAAGAAAATTCAGAGAGTTTTACTTGAGAGAATATTTTATTGAGTTTGAAACAAGCTGTTTGCAAACAGAGGGACTGCCAAACAACAAGCGGCTTGGAGTCCTGCCCTCAGCAGTCGCGGCTCAGTTTCTAAAGCGAGAAGGAGCAAGTACATCGCTTTGTATTGTGACAGGCTCCTAGAAACTTAACATTCCTTTTAGGGTAGGAGTACTCCATAAGCTTACTTGTTTGTAGCTGATTAGCTAGGAAGCTGTAAGGTCACGCTGACATGAAAACTTAAGTCTTGGTTGAGGTCAGAGTCCGCCTTTCAGGAAAATCAGGCCAGTTTTAAGTTTTGGTTACGTGACTGTGAGTGTTTGGTCTAGGGGTATATTCAAACTGTGGACTCCATTTTGGTTTCTCTTTAACAAATGCAGTGGATCAGCAGCATGACCACTATGATAAAAACAAGAACAATTAGTAATTACCGTAAGATGCTTTGGAACTGGGAATCCTAATCGCCCCACCCAGGCCAAGAGAACAAATTCCACAGGCCCTGAGGATCACTCTGAGAGGCAAATAGCTTTTTCCGTAAGGCGTTCTACAGCTTATTCCACCTTGTCCGTTTCATCGATCTAAGTACAACAGGAAGTATTAGCAGTGGCACAGACACCACCAAGACCAGTCAGCAAGAAATCTAGAGCAGGGCAACTGTCCATCACTACTCACGCCAATGAGTTGAGACTCATCTCTCCTACATCTAGGGCAGACGTAGTATCATTAATAACTTCTGCCAGAGTTAGTGACAGGTTTCTTCCTATTTTCTACTTCTTTTCTTTTCTATTTTGTATTTGTCTTTTCTATTTGTATGGTTCTTCCGATGGGGCACTGCTCTGACTGTTCTCGTAAACGACGAGTCAGTAATTTCCCTGGGTAGTGTGCCTGAAAAAGCAAGAGTGGCCTCATTTTGGAGCTCATATCTGAGTCAGAATTTCCAGCCTTGGTGGTTTATAGAATTAGGATCTCTGTGCACAGACAAGTGTCAGAGTTTTATTCCTAAAGAGCGTGACATGTTGGTCTGAGACAAACAGGATCAGCTATTCTGGCCACAAAGGATGTAGTATCCAGTAGGGGTGCATGGAAATTCAGGAAAAAAGGGAGTTCATGACATGAAGTTGGAACCAAGACCTTGCGTTAGCTGGGTTACACGTTTGGCTCTCTTTTAGTCTCTTCTCAGTAGTATTTGGCCCATTGCTCTACGAAGGGGGTTGAATCCAAATTTAGAATTATCTTGGGTCAGTCAACAGGTTGTAATAATCGTCTGTCAAATCTCCTGTAAGCTTCTTCCGGGAGAGAGCAACGCTAGCAAAATCACAGATTGATTTGCTTAAGGTCAGTTGTCCATGATGGAGCAAATGGAAACACCATCAGCTGCAATACTGATGTTCTTATCGTGGGGGTCTTGTGATGGATGGCATATCCAGCAGTCAGTATGACTGAGGGCAGTGGTTACTGTTGAAGATAATCTAAGAATGGCATTAGAATGATACATTCTGACCTAACAATTATAGTAAGCAGGGGAGAAAAGAAATAGGGCTACTGTAGGTGGAGGACAACAAGGGGTCTGGAGAAAATGAGAAAAATGATTACAAACAAGCAGATAAAAAATGAAACAGGAACTAGATAGGTGTCTTGGTCCAACAGTGGACCAAAAACTATCTGTGGTCAGGGGTCATCTGTTTGTTCCAAAGGTCTGGGCCAGCTGTCTGCTTTCCAAGATTTGCTTCCGGGGGATCTCAGAGAGTCCTGAGTTTGAGGTCCCATATTGGAGTAGCTTTCCAATTGTGTGCAATTCTGAATAGTTTTCTTAGTTGTGAAACATGAACCCCAGTGTTGACTCCTTGGGGTTTCACTGCTTACTTGTCAACAGCACCTGATAAAGGCCCTTCCAACAAGATTCAAGAGCAGTTTTCTCCAGTATCTCTTCCAGTCGATGAAATCTCCTGGTGGAAGCTTATGAAGAGGTTGTTTAGGAAGACATTGTGGGAAGGTGGTCTTCACTTTTGATGACAGAGGTGGCTATAGTACGTGAGTCCTTTGCAATATTTTGCCACATCTGCCGCAGTTGGCAGAGCCTAATGTAGCAGGTGAAATCTCTACATGCGTGGGCCTTCCAGTCACCAGCTCACAGGAAGATGAGCAGTGTGTCCCAGAGGGAGTAGACTGTCTGACCATAAGGGCTAGTGAGAGCGCCTTTGGCCAAGGGAGCTCAAGGGCTTTTGAAAGTTTTGCTAATTTTAATGTAAGTATGTGATTGATCCTTTCAAGCTTTCCAGAAATTGTAGTTTTTGAGTAAGAGAGAACACCTTACAAAGTCCTTTTATAATGGTTTCTGTAAAGTGTGTGTCTCAATCACCTGATATTACAGTTGGGATGCCCCCAGGTTGCAAACACAAAATCAAGCAGCCTTTTAGTGACCGTAAAGGCTGTAGCTTTTAAGCAAGGAAATCTTTCAACTCATGCTGAGAACAGACATACGGCAAGTAAAACATATTCAAATCCCTTGGAGGGTGAAAGCTGGATGGTCCATCTGAAGGAGGTGAAAGGGCCCTTGAGGCTTTGGTTCCTGGCCACGTCACCTTTACAGTTTTTCCAGGGTTATGTTGTTGACAGGTGACGCATAATCTGAAAATAACCTCAGTTGTCTTTTAAAACTTTGTCCGTCAGTGTTGATTTAAGATAACCAATTTGTCGACTTCATGATGGATAGCTTCATGGATGAATCCAGCTAATATCCATGCGAAATCATCTGGAGCCACCAAGTGGCCATCTTGAGAGAGCAGGAGATTATCTGACTGAAGGGCACAACCGGATTTTTGCATTCTTCCTTTTCAAAATCAGGGGCTAAATATTGACGTTTTATAATGTCCTCTTTGAGTCCCTCCAGAGATTTATCCTTTGAAGGCTCAGCTAGGATCGTAACTTTGGTTAAATTGGCTGGTTTGGTCAAACGATATGCTAGAGCATTTCCTTTCGCTTTCACATTCTCTCTTTTTACGTGGGCCTCAACCTGTATAAGAGCCTCTCTCTAGGAAGTAGGATTGTATCTAAAAGTTCCTTAACTTGTCCATGTTTCATGGGCTTTTCAGTAGAGATGAAAACCTCATAAAACATTTGTTTCCAAAGCATCCTCCTTTGTTTCTAAAGCATCCCAAAGTCATGTACTCCTCCCAAAGCTGGCCTGCTCTCAGTGGATACGTTGACTCTGAGGCCTTTGGCTAGTTGATAAGCTCTACTAAGGCAGTAAGCTCTCCCATCTGGGCTGCTTTTTTCTCAGGTGTAGGACTGTACCCCAGAGGAGAGCTTCAATTAGTGGTGGCATATCCTGCTTGATAACCTCCCCTTGCAGTTTTGAGGTCTGACACATCAACAAATAATGTTAGGTCAGGGTTCTCAATGGGAGCCTCTGATGAACCTGAGCGAGGCACAGAAAGGTCCCCGAAGTAAGACAAGCCTGAGTTCCCCCTTCTGGTAGGGGCAGATGAGTGGCAGGGTTCCGGACACTGGAGCAGTGAATAGCAATGTGAGAGGGAGAATGTAACAAAACCTCCCGAGAGGTGAAAAGGCTGTTTGGGAGGTGCGTGTCCTCAGTCGCTGGAAATATCTGTGCTGCAGGAGGAACCATTAGGTCCGGCTAAGAGCCTAGAACTGGTGGAGCAGAAGCATCCAGTTTTGCACAGGCAGCTGCTGCCTTAGGACAAGGGTCTGAGCCTTTGCAGCCGGGCCCAGGGTACGGCTCCGGTAAGCAATGAGTGTTTGATGGTTCCCATGGAGCTGAGTTAAAACCCCCAGAGCTTGTCTCGGTCACTCATGGAAAGCTACATAAAATGGTGTTTTGCAGCTAGGGATGCATAGGGAAGGAGGCTGCCAGGAGCACAGCTTAGCTGGGAGAGAGAGAACTGAGCTGCCAGGGGTCAGAGCAGCCAAGTAAGGCAACAAGCCAGAAAGGACAGAGTTAACCCTTTAATCCCTCACTGAAATGGTCTAAGCAGGAGGTTGAACCCAGAGCCTCCCCACGCTCCATTTCTCTCGCGGAACAAGGTCAGGTACACGAGCGCTGACATGGGGGTCACTCAGGGCTGAGGGAGAACAAAAGGCTCCAGCAGTTTTGGGGACCCTGGGGTGGGCGGAGGACGGAGGAGGAGGGAGAGGAGGAAGAGCTTGGAGTGGGAAAGTCCTAGATACTGGGTCAGCGTGAGGACGAGTGTCTTCGTGGCTTCCTGCCTTTCCTCCCCACACCCCCAGCCCGTGAGGACCCCTCAGCAGGGGCTCCTGAAGAAGACCTCTGCCCAAGGCCTCAGATAGAGACCTGTGGCTGTCAACACTGAGAAGAGCTTGACGGTCAGCGGAGCTGAGTCCTTGACGGCAGCTGCCTTTGGGGACCGCAGTGCGCGGCTGGGCGTTCTCTGAGTGGAGTCTTATCAGTCGGCTGCTTTTTTGGTGGACTGTATTCTCCTGTTCGCAAGAGGTAAATGGCTTGACACTTTGGATGTCTAAAAATGTTTTAAATTCTCCATCTGTCCGTAGTTTGCCTGGGTTATATTATCCTGAGTTTTAACTAATTTTCTTTCAGAATTTTTGAAGCAATTATCCATCGTCTTCTGGCCTCTAACATTGCTGGAGAACTGAGATGCCGTTCTGATTCCCATTCCTTTTCTTTTTCTTTTTCTTTTCTTTTTGAGGAAGGTTAGCTCTGAGCTAACTACTGCCAATCCTCCTCTTTTTGCTGAGGAAGACTGGCCCTGAGCTAACATCCATGCCTGTCTTCCTCCACTTTTTATACGTGGGACGCCTACCACAGCATGGCTTTTGCAAGCAGTGCCATGTCCGCACCTGGGATCCGGACCGGAGAACCCAGGGCCGCCGAGAAGCAAACGTGCGAACTTAACTGCTGTGCCACCGGGCCGGGCCCCATTCCTTTTGTTTTAAGCCTTTATTTTTTAGAGCAGATTCATGGCAAAATTGAGCTGTGAGTTTCCATAGAGCATCATCTTCCCGCACACGACACAACACGGCCTCCCCCATGCTGCGCCAGAGTGGAACATCTGTTAGCAATTAGTGAACCTACAGCGACACGTCACTGTCACCCAATGTCCATGGTTTACATTATGGTTCACTCTTAGTACTGTCCATTCTCTGGCTTTTAACAAGGTTATACTATCCTCTGTTGGAGCATCACACAGAATAGGTTTCCATCCCTTTTATGTGTTAGCTTCTTGTTCTGTCTCTGTAGATGTTTTGCACCTTCTCTCTGTCCTTTAGTGTCCTGAGAAAATGCCAGTGTAATTTTCTTTTATCTACTGCATGGGGCAGTCAGTGTGCCTTCTCTATGTAAAAGCACAGGCCCTTTCAATTCTGGGAAATGTCTTCATCTATTTCTTTGATAATTTCCTCCCCCACATTTTCTCTGCTCTTATTTTCTGAAATCTCTGTTAGTTGATTGCTGTATTCCTGTGGTGAATCTTCTAGACTGTTCTTATATTTTTTCTTCTTTTTCTTTCCTATTTTACAAACCTTTTACTTTTTGAATATTCTTTTTTATAATCTATTCTTAGTTCATGAATGTAGTATCTTCTCTTCTCTTTCAGAAGACATGAATTAGCCTTTTGACGTTTTCTTCTGTTTACTACACTGCTTCTATTTTCACAGATTTCTTTTTTCTCTTTTACGCTAGAGTTTCTTGCAATATCTGCTTATTATATGTGGCTTTTTCTGTGTGAGAGCTGATCTCTAAAAAACTTGATTGGCAGGTTTGTGAGCAGGGGTTTAATCTTGTTGACTCGAGGCTATGTTGTAAAATAATCTGTCTCAATAGTTCGCCAGCTTTAACCACGGCAAAATCACCTGGAGCTCAAGTTTCAAACATAGACTACTGACCCGCCACCCCTCCCTGTCTTTAGAGTGAGCCTTGTTCCGAAGCGTTGTTCATCACCCAGGAAACTCAGTGGGCAAGCCCTTTCTCCCCAATGTCAGGGTCAGTGTTTTTGTTTGTTTGTGTTTTCTTGAATGAATCAGTTTCACCTGAGAGGAACTGTCGACTTTTCTGCCTGAAAGGTACAAACCTGTGTCCCAGGATTCTGTGAGCAAGTGGGGACAGATGAGTCGTATTGATCCCCTTGTTTGCTCTTGGTCCTCTTTGCTCTTACAGCGCCATTGACCCAGAATCCAGAACCTTCTGGCTCTTCCAGTCTTTTTCAGATAGGCCTTTGGTCAGGCTCAGGAGCATCATGGGGGTGGGAGGGCATCTTTCTGCCTCTCATATAGCCTTTCAGCTCATTCTTCTATGCTCATCCCCACTTTCAGAGGTACTTGATGCCTCTCATTTCTGAGGCAGATTGGGATTCTACAGAAAAAATCAGCCTTCTTCAAAGCTTAGCTTGCAGCTTTTTCTGGTCTTCATCAAATGCCACACTTTCATCTGCTTTCTAGCTTCCAGTATATATATATATATACACACACACACAATATATGTATACACACACACACACACACACATAGATATATAGCTGCCTTCTTTCCACCCATTCCTTATCCTTGTGCATTTATGTATTGTAATAATCTCTTTACTGTCATTTTAGAGGGATTTTGGCAGAGCGTCTGATAAATGTTTCATATTTTGGATCTTGCCTCATGCTTGATGAATAGTTTGGTACAGAATTTGAAGTTTAAATAACAGAATTTAAAGTTTATGTAGAATTTAAAGTTTAAATAATATTTAAATTATATTTTATATATAATGCTAATGATACACGTCCAAGTTGGAACTCTAGAGTCTATGTTAAACGCTTCCAGTCTTTAAAAATGGGAGGAAATACGTGAACCACGAAGTGAACACATGCCCTTAGAAGAAGAGCAATGCCCCTCCCGCAAGACAAAGTAAAATGGGGCATAAATAGCTTCTGTAAAGGAAATTTTAAAAGGTTGAAATTTTGCAATACACCAACAGCTGATGGTTAAGGGAAAGTAAAATAAAATGAAAATTGGGCAAGAGAATTAGACATGAGGGAAGAAGCAGCCCCACGCAGTGGGCAGCATGGTGCACAGGCCTGGGGAGCCGCCTGGATCGGGCTTCCAGAGAGGCTGGTCAGCCCTTTGCCCCAGCCGCCGCCTCTCATCCTCCAAATGGCTTCTGAGAAAGCCTGAGTATCAGCTGTGGGGACATACCTTTACCTCTCTGAAGCAATAAACATTTAAAACTTTAGCTCAATCAAGAGATTCAATTAGACTGCTGTAGGAAAGACAAAGACTCTTTCTCTTTTACTCAGGCATTTATAAACTTCTCTTTTGTAATTTTTTTTTTTAAATTTTTTGAGGAGGATTAGCCCTCAGCTAAAATCTGGCACCAATCCTCCTCTTTTTGCTGAGGAAGACTGGCCCTGAGCTAACATCTGTGCCTCTCTTCCTCAGCTTTATATGTGGGACGCCTGCCACAGCGTGGCTTGATAAGCAGTGTGTAGGTCCTCCTGGGGATCCAACCCAGCGAACCCAGGCCAATGAAGCAGAACATGCGAACTTAACCGCTGTGCCAGGGGGCTGGCCCCAGCATTTGTGTACTTCTAATGAATACTTCCCTTGTGGTGATCTGAAGCATAGACAAGTTAAATAGCTTCTCCCAGATTCAGTTTCCTGATGTGGATAAGACAGCACCCTGTTGCCTGACAGGGACCTGCAGTGAGAAAGCCCCCCAGAAATCCCAGCTTGTTGAAGGGGAGCAGGTAGTCTCCCTCCCAGACAGCCCCACTGTTCCTTGCCTGTCTCTTCTGCCCTAGGCAGGTTTTCCAGAGAGGATCGCTTTCTCCTGAGGGCATCCTCCCTGGGCGGGGAGAGACCGGAACCGCCCCCGAAATCATTGCGGGGTGGGGGGAACCTTTTGGGAACTTGGAGGGACAGGGGGCCCCCAGGAGGTCTGCAGGTGGAGGGCGAGCTTTCCTGGCACTTGGAAGTGAAGGCCAGAGGTGGGATGCAGAGATGCACAGAGCAGTGCAGGCCGGTGCCCTGCAGCCAGCCTGGCCCAGGTTGGCAGAATGCCTGTCCCACCGTCTGGGTCGCTTCTCCGGGTGGCAGGGGTCATGCGAGGTCCTGACGCCAGCTGGAGATCAAAATGGGCAAGTGGCCAGAGCCAACTGGTATTCCTCAGAGGTCTTGAGAGCTGGAAGGCTTCAAGAAGGTCTTACTGGTCTAGTCAAGGCTACCCTGGTGGGTGCAGTATTTGGTGAGTGAAATCGCGTGGGTGCCCTGGGAAGGGCCCACTCTGATGCTACCACTGCCCTCATGCTCCCTCCTGCCCACATTCCCTGCCACAGCTGGTGCTGCCTGGACCTCCTGCCAGTGACGCTGGCTCTTTCCTCACAGCCTCGCAGGGCCTGGGATCCAGCTGTCTGGACCTGAGCATGCCCTCCCCCCGCACAGGCCCAGTGGAGTCCACCTCCCCAAAACAGAGCCCCGAGTCAACACTTTGATCCAGGTGGACGGCAGCTTCGAGGACACCCTGGAGATCACCACCTACAGAGCGAAGCTACTCAGGGAAGTGACACAATGGATTATCCAAGGGTTGGTCAAGTGGCACCGATGCCACCAGGCCCGAAGCAAGAGGCTTGGGTGCGGGGGACAGGGCCTTTGTACAAGCAGGCTCCAGTGGGAGGGCAGGTTTGTTCCTCCCCCTCAGAACTCTTCCACAAAAACTGGAACCCTGACTCCTGTGCCAGGAGGATCGTTTAGTATCAGTATATCCCAAGGGTGGACGACCGAGGACCGAGTTCTGCAAGTGGGAAGAGCTGTGGCCTCCCCGGCTTGAGGGGGTGTGCAATGTGGCTGTCACGTGCCTATTTTAAAATGTCAGGTCGCACGCCTTTAATTCTAATTTCGCTGTTCTCTCTTGTGCAGGGAAGCGCAGACCTGAGGAGGCCAGGAAAACCCTGGAAGCTGACTCTGGGACAAACAGAATGCTGTCGCCCACTGACTGTGAAGGCCACCGCCCACTGTGCAGGCGAGCAGGGCTGCAAGTCCAAGGTTGACCTGTTCCGGTTCTGGAAGTTGGAGAAAACAAGAATTCACTGGTCCCCGCCTTGTTTGGGCTTTCCTTGTTTATTGGCGCGCACAGATTTATTTCAGGGCTGATCACCAATGTAAAGAGACGGAGAAGCACAGCTCTGTGCAGATGGACTGGAGGGGAAGTGCGCGGTTTCCCTGGAGGTGGAGGTGTGGTGGGAGGGAGATGGGAGAATTGGCCTAGAGTCACCGCGACCCGGGCTCCATGGTGCCCCACTTTTTAGTTTTAATTTGCTCATCATTAGTGCTTTGTGTATCTCCATTAAAAATGTTTAGTATTTTGAAGTCATCAAGATATTTTCTGACATTGTATTCTAAGAAGAAATTTTGATTTGCCTTTCATAGTCCCGTAATACAATTGGCATTAATTTTTTGTGAACAGTGTGAGATAGAACTTAGCTCCCTTTTCTTCTGTAGACACACCCTGTATGTTCCAGCATACCATTGCTGTGCTTGTGCGGTGCCGCCTTTGTCAACATAAAGTGAATATGAATATGCACATGGCATATTGTTATACTCTGTTCATTGGCACGTTTGTCCATTCTTACATCAAAACCATAATGTTTTAATTCCTGTAGTTTTATCATAATATTTGAAAACCTAGAGAAAGTCCTGATGCCTTATTCTTTTTCAAGGGTGTCTTGAATATTCCTCACCTTTTGAATATTCATATAAATTGCAGAATCCACTTGCCAAATTCCACTAAACAGTTAAAATTGTGGTTAGGATTCCTTGAATCTACAGATCAAGTTGTGGAGAATTGGCATGTTATGGTACTTAATCTTTTAATGCATGAACTTGGTGTCTTTAGCCATTTATTTAAGTATTCTTTACTTTCTCTGAGCAACATTTTAGAATCTCTATATAAGGGCCTTGCATATACGTTGTTAGCCTTAACCCTTAATGTTTGCTATTTTTGATGCTTTTAAAGTAAAATTTTTAAAAATTCACTTTTCACTACTGGTACATAGAAATAAAATTTATTTGAATATACTGGTCTTTAATCCAGCAATTTTGAGCAACTGACATTAATTTTAATAATTTAACTGTAGATTCTTTTGGATTTTCTATATAACAAATTATATCATCCATAAATACCAGGAGTGTTACCTCTCTCCTTTAAATCTTTATAATTTTTGTGTTAGATATAAAATATGGGTGTAGAATCTTTTTCTGCATTAGTTAAGACCTCCAGTATACTACTGAACAGGGGTGATGACAGTGGACAACCTTTCATGATTGCCAATAACAGAGGGAAAGCTTTCAACATTACACCTTTAAATAAAATGTTTTTGGATGTATATAGAGGCTTCAGTTGACTGACATTTTATCATTATCTGTGCTTCCCGTTGTTTATTACATGTCCTACTTTGTAGCAATGACTGTTTTCCTTTGGTTCTACCAATTATTAGGTGTATGTAATTTAAAATTGTTTGTCTTTGAATAGAATCCTCTATCTTACCAAGTCTTCCTTTTTATCTGCAGTAATGTTTCTTGCCTTACAATCTACTTTGATATTAACACGTCTATCTGTTCGTTTGGGCGTAGAGTTTACATACGATATACTTTCTCGTACTTTTAACTTTTCTGTATTCTTCATATTTAGACAGATTTCTTTGAAAACCTGTCTATATTTCATTTTAAGGGAAGCATTTAGTCTCTTTTCAGTTGATGTAGTTATTGACCTATTTGAAGTTAACTCTTTGTTTGCTGTGCCTTTCCTTTTTTTTATTTTAATTTTTTTTTTAAAGATTTTGTTTTTTCCTTTTTCTCCCCAAAGCCCCCCCAGTACATAGTTGTATATTCTTCGTTGTGGGTCCTTCTAGTTGTGGCGTGTGGGACGCTGCCTGAGCGTGGTTTGATGAGCAGTGCCATGTCCGTGCCCAGGATTGGAACCAGCGAAACACTGGGCCGCCTGCAGCGGAGTGCGAGAACTTAACCACTGGGCCACGGGGCCAGCCCCTGCTGTGCCTTTTCTATGTATTGATTTCTCGCTCTCTTTGAATTGATTTAATTTCTAAAATTTTTCTTCTGTTAGTTTTCAAGTTATAAATATGATTTTTATTATTTTACTGGTTTCCCTACTTTATCAAAGTCTCAAGTTAATTGGTACTTATGCTTTTTTCCTAGAGAGTTCCTATTTACCTCTTCCTGACTTCTAGGTTATTATTGTTATGTGCAGTATTTAAATTATACATATGTTTAAAGCCATTACATATTATCATTGTTTTATATGTCCTTTATTTATTTGGAGCTACCCACATACTTATTAATCTATGCCTCATTAATCCCTAATCCGCTTTTGCTTCTCCATCCTGTTATCTGGGACGTCCCCTGTCTTCCTAAAACATAGCCCTTGCTATTAACCTTTAGCTTGCTGTGTTAATGATGCATCTCAGGGGCTTTTTTCTATAAACGTTTTCATTCCTCTTCTGAAAGATATTTTTGCTTGGTATATAACTCAACTTTGTCCTTATATCTTTCAGCACATTAAAGCTGTCTTTCCATTGTGATCCAGCTTCCATTTTGGCTGTTGAGAAATTAGGTATAAGTTTTGAGTTTTTCTTCTTTGATGTAATCTTTTCTTTTTCTCTCTCTTTCGCCCTTCCTTTCCTTTCCCCTCCTTTTCTCCTTCTTTCCTTTCTTCCTGTTTTTCTTATTGTTTCCCCTTTCTGACTGCCATCAAAGTTTTCGCTTTGTCTTTTTCTTTTTCATATTTTTGTGATTTTTTTATAATAATAAGTATAGGTGGGGGATTCTTTTTTTGTCATGTATGCCATCCATTGAACTTATTGATTCTGTGAAGTCATTCGTCAGTTTTAAAATTCGTAGTCATTTTCAATTCAAATGTTGCTTCTACCCGTTTCTATCTTTACCTTCTGGGGTTATCATTATATCCATTTTAGAATTTTTTAGTATATTCTCATGTGCTCTCTCTCTCTTCTCTCTTCAAAATTTGCCTCTTTGGGCTTTTTTTCCCTTTCTTTTCTGGTATTTATCCTACTCACTAATGTTTCTTTATTTGTTCCTAAGATGTGCACTTTCAAACATTTCCACTGAGTTCGTAATATTATTTACTTTTCAGTTCTAGAATTTTTTATTTAGTTCTTTTCTAAATCTGCTTTGTCCTTTGAAAGCTGCGTTCTATTTCTCTGTCAAAACATTTAAACTTATTTTGTGTTTGCGTGAATCTAGTGAGCATAATTCTATGGAGCTAGTATTGGGAGCTCAGCTGAGCTGAGAGAGAGGTTGCTGAGCTGTCAGATGTCAGAGTAGCCAATTAAAACAACAAGCCAAAGAGGGAAGAGCTTAGTCTTTAATCACTCACTGTGACAGTGGAAGCAAGAGACAGAAACCTGAGAATAGACCGACTCCCCTCATTTTATTTTCTCCCATAGGGTGGCAGCACACTGGTCCTGGCCCGGTGACTCAGCACATACATGAGGGTCATCACACTGTTGAAGGAGTCCAAAAAGCGTTCTGGCAGGTTTGTGGACCCTGAGGCTGAGGAGAGGATGAGGGAGAAGGGCCAGGAGTGGAAAAGATCGGGATGCTCAGTCAGAGTGCAGAAAATTGTCTTCGAGGTTCTCCTCTTCCCCCGTAAGGAGACCTCAGCGGAAGCGCCTGAGGAAGACCTCTGTCCAAGGCCTCAGATAAAGAGACCTGGGAATGGCAGCACCAGGGCTAGGAATGCAAACATGGAACGGCATGCCTAGCCAGATGAGGCCTGTCACATAAAGCCTTTGTAATTTCCATGGTCGGGCCTGAAAAATTACACATAGTGTCTTAGTCCGTTCAGGCTGCTATCACAAATTACCACTGACTGGTTGAACTAAACAACAGGCATTTCTCTCTCACGGTTCTGGAGCTGGAAGTTCCAGATCAAGGTGCCCAAGATCAAGGCGCTGGCAGATTCACTGTCTGGTCAAGACCTGCTTCCTGGTTTATAGACAACCATCTTCTCACTATGTCCTGTCCTGGTGGGGGGGGAGGGGTCTGGTTCCTTCCTCTTCTTATAAGGGCACTAATTCTATCCCTGGGGCTCCACCGTCATCTAAACCCAATTAACTAAAAGGTCCCATCCCCAAATGCCATCACATTGGTGATTGGGGCTTCAACATAAGAATTGGAGGGGACACAAACATTAAGTCCATCACATATGGGTTTTCAACAGGAGTTGGACTCCTCAGCTAGTGCCTAGTAATTCCGATGTCGGGAGTCGTTGCTTGTCTAGTACTATTATGGGTTGTTACTTCTGGTCTTGTCTATATTATTTTCTCCTTATGAGCCTATTTATCTTTGGCTATGAGCTACGTATTTCACTTTCAAAATTGCTTGTAGAAATAATTTGAGGCCTAAAATTATTTTCCCCTTCTTAAGGTGGCACCATCAATCTGGAATCTCCTTAATCCAATTTTAAGGACTCAGATTTTTGTGGGCCAAGAAGAGAGCTCAAAGTTGGGTTGCAGCCCTTACGAGGGCTTAATTATTTCTGGTTCACTTTTATTTCTAAAATGTGGCTGTTCAGCGTCCCACTCCAAATTCCTGGGAAGGGGCTTACCGAAACGCCAGTCTCAGTAGGATCTGGACTGAAACCTTTGTCCCCCTAACCTCTTCCATCTGCCAAAAATGTAAGGTAGCCTCTCATCAGCCTCTACTGGGTTTGCAAATGGCCGTGAGGCGAAGGCAGTTGCCAAATGTCAGGTTCTGCTCTCTGGATTTCTATTCTACCTGAGACCCTGGCCTATTAATTCTTCATTACAGCTGAGGCTCCAAAATGCCTGCCAGCAGATGTTTCTGTATAAAAACAGAAAGAGAAAGAGAGAGAGAGAGCTCACATTGCCTGGTTCCTGTATGCAAAAGTTTCAACTACCACGGCTTAAAGAAGACCAGTAGTCCCACAAGGTGGTTTTCATGTCCGTGACCCCAGTGTAGAAACTGTGCTGCTGCCTGTTCAAAGTTTCTGCTACCTGTTCAGTCTGCAGATCACTACCTAGATCAAGAAGGCACATCATGATCAGTGACAACAGCGATCTGTCGGTGGTTACTCAGGGCATATCTGTTTTTCACGTCACACAGACGACAAAATGTGTTGTTTTGTTGCCATCTTGTCTCCCCCCTGAAATGGATAATCGAAAGAGGGAATTGCCCAAGAAAGATGGAAATGCAGCAAAGAAGTGAAAAGTGATGATGCGAGAAGTGAGCTTGGATGTGATTAGGAGACAGCTGAGCAGGGGTAGGATGATGCTGTTTGAGACACTGTAGGTGTGTGACCAGAGGAGCTTCATGAAGGCGAGCTTACCAACATGAACGAGCCCAGGCTGAAGACGTCCCAGGGGAGGTGACGCTGGTGAAAACTTGGACGTTAAGGGAACTCTGAAACATCACACGACAGTGAAAGTGCGAAGAATGCAATGTTGAAAGCTGATCAAAAGTTAGAAAGGACTAGGGCAATCCATCAAGTCATAGAAAATATACAATGCGAAGAGGTAAGCACTGTTGAAACTGCTCTTTTTTATTGAGGTAACGTTGCTTTATAGCATTGTGTGGATGTCAGGTGCACAGCATTATATTTCACTTTCTGTATTGATTACATCGTGTTCCCCACCAGAAGTCTAGTTGCCATCCGTCGTTGTACCCATGTGCCCTTTTACCCTCCCTCAACCCCGTTCCCCTCTGGTAACCATCAGTTGGTTCTCTGTGTCTATGTGTTTGGTTGTTTATCTTCCACACATGAGTGAAATCATATGGTATTTCTCTTTCTCTGTCTGACTTATTTCTCTTAGCGTAATACCCTCGAGGTCCATCCGTGTTGTCACAAATGGCAAGATGTCAAACTACTCTTAATATGATTGATCTTTTAAAAATCACATTTAATTCTCAATGCTTTTACTTACAGTATACTAAATAAATATCAGCCTTGCTCTTTTTAAGTTTTCTATGTATTTTAAATTGCAAGTAAGAGAGTTTTTAATGTTTTGATGAAAAAATTTGGATGTCACTGGACAAGGGTATTTTCCCCATTGATTGATCAGATTGCCTTGTTCAGTTTCAGCTTGCACCGTAATTTTTCTGGTCCTGCAGCATCCTTCCAAGTGAGGATTGTGTGTGTCTGCAGTTGTGTCAATAATATTGCACCATAACATCAACAGTGCATTTCAACTGTGTAAATAATGAGAAAATTGCCCCATCTCTAATTATACAGTGCTCGGGCCTACCAAAACTGTCGAAGGTGTTCTTAATACTTTACTGCCTTTGGTATACACAGTTGTATTAATTATCTATGGCTGCATAACAACCACCCCAAACTTAGTGGCTTAAAACGACAATATTTATTATGCTCACAGATTCTGTGTGCTAATAATTTGTACAGGGTACAGAGGGAATGGCTTGCCTCTGCTCCGTGATGTCTGGGCTTAGCAGGAAGACCCAAAGGCTGTGGGATGATGACATGTGAAATCCAGTTTGTCGGTGTCACAATCCAATGTACACATCAGGATAGATGCAGAGAGGGCTGATGGCCACTCTGCGTTTATTATAACCAGCGTTTCAATATATACATAGCTTACAGCTGTTAAACATACACAGGTGTTCTGGATGAAGTAATTAGCGAATGCCAAGAATTCTTAGTGATTTCTCAAGGAGCCCTCCCTTGGCCTCTGTTTTGATATTATCATGTTATTGCTGTGCTCCTATATTTTTATCTCGGGGCAGGCAAGGTCTCTTAGGCAACGGTCCCTCCTGCTCCTGACATCGATATCGTTTCTCCATCTGTGCCCCCGGGCGGCCGCCGCCTGGCTTAGGTTGCCCCCCCAGGGGGTCTTACTGGTCATTGGGTCATTGGCTAACCGGCCTTCTCACCTCCCGGTCACAGTTTGTTGACAAGCTTTTTCCAGTGATTATTAACCCTTCCTGTGTCAGGGGCGGCTACGTAGTTCACTCTCATGTCTGGAGATTGATTCTGGCTATTGCCTGGGGAGCTTCGGTTCCTTTCCTCTTGGCTCCTACATGCGGTCTCTCCTCATGGGCTCTGTTGGACTTCCTCTCTGCAGGGGAGCAGTATTCCGCCATGGCAAGCCAACCAAATCTATCTCATGTTTTATGACCTAGCCTCAGAAGTCATATAGCACTATTTAGATTCTCCAATGGTGCAGATTAAAGGGAGAGAACATAGATCTCTATCTATCAGTGGAAAGAACGTTAGTTATATTGTAAGATGGGCATGTGGAATCAGATAAATGTATTGATGTGGCCATCTTAAGAAAACCCCTTCTGCTATAAGAGTGAAGCCCTTTATGCGCCCTGATTTATTTCCTGGATAAATACCATAACCATTTTGAAATACATGTCACCAAGACCTGTTTCAAAAATTGACTTAAATTTGTTAATTTATGACCTCAGGGTCCACTCCCCTCTCCCCTGTTGAATCTTATTAGACATCATATCTCCTTTCTGAGAATCACGCATCCCTACCTTCTCTACAGACCATAAAATCAGTTCTTAGGGAGGACAGTTGTTTGTATTTGTGTCTAAACAAAATTTATATTTTTAATCTATTAAGGAACCTGGGATGGTTGTTCCCAGTTTCTAGCTGGTGAACAAGACCCTTTTTCTTCTTGCTATACATATATTCGATGCAGCAAAGCCTTATTTTAAAATACTGAATTCATGTCTTATTGTCTATAATCTATGTTTTTCAACCAATAACCCTATTGCTTGCTGTTAATTTGCTTCTGGTTTTTTATTATGATATACACACAATGAATATTCCTTTATGTTTGCCTTTCATAGTCAAAAGTCAGGCTCTTTTAGTGAATTTTGCCCAAAGTGAATTTTACACAAAGTGTGCATGCTTCTGCAAAGGAATTCATGTTTGCCTCTGAGGAGCAACTGTATCCTGATCTTCATTCTGGAGTAGAAGTCTCCTCTGCGACAATCTGGGAGTATGCTGTGTCAGTGGGTTTCTACCCAGCTGCACATTGGAATCACCAGTTCCAAGGCCCCATCCAACATTGGTTTAATCAGAAACTTTGAGTTCAAGTCTCGGGTACAGGTATTTTTCCAAGGGTCTTACGAGATCCTAATACACAGAGTTGAGCCATACTGTCCTAGTCCTCTGGAATACTTAATCTGCACTTATCAGGAGTATTTGAAAATCACTTTACCTCTCTGACCATGAAACATTTACAATGAAAAGGGATGTTCAGGCGTAGCAACCTCAAAGGCTTTTAGGGGCTGCAAAAGATGGTAGTTATGTGCCCCGTGCAGAAGCCTGGTGTAAGATAATATACAGGGATATTTTCTGTGATAAATTGCAGAGTGCTCGCTCCACCAAAAGTCACTTAAATTCTTCTCTTCCTCCTTTTTCTAACATTGTAATGGCCAAACAAAACATCTCTGAAGCCAAATTTGGCTCTTGACCCAGATTATATGGCGATTCAGATCTCTTCTATTTTTAATGCACTGCACAAATTTATACAGTTTCTTGTATTAAGGCATCGTTAATTCAGTTTAACACAGAAGGGACTTGAAAATCTAGTAAGAGAAATGTTGGAGGATACAAGATGGTAGTAGTGAAATAATAATCTTCGATTATTAGCCAAGGGCATGAAGCACTTATGGGAGCCACCACGGGGCAAAATTTTGCCTTGGCTGACACAATTGTAGGTAAATACTTTTGTTCTAGAACCCTTTAAAATGTAAATGGAAACGAATTTGTTTTGCACCCACTAGTTTTCTTGTTCATGCCAATAATTTATATTTTTTTCTGATTTTGTTTCATCACTAATCTGCAAAAAGGAAGCATAAAAATATCTAAACCCTTCCGTATCCTACATGCACAATTTGGAGAATTTCAGTAAATTAGGTTGAGGCGGGGAAGTTGCACATCGAGCGTACTACATTCTATGATTGCAAATGTCAATAAAGCAGAGATTTTTTTCCTGGCCATTCTAGAGCTGAAAAGCTTTCTGTGGTCATGAAAATATCTTGAATTCTGAGTTTGTTTTCCTCAGATCAGGACAATAATCTACACGAAAATTATGCCTCTATTCTTCTATTTAGCCTGTCAAGATTTTGTGAGCTACATAGCTCGTGATGATTCATTTGTGGGCGAGAAGAACACCACTCTGCCAGCCTACTGATGAGTCGGGACACTGCTTTTGCCAGCCAATGCACTATGGTGGGGTGGAAAAATTTCCCTTCCCTACCAGGTTCTTTGGTTGGTCTAATAATTACATATACATAAAACACGTAACAGGAGAAAAACATATCTAAGTTTATACGTAAGGGAGACCCACAAAGATATGAGACTCAAAGAAGTGACCGAAACAGGAAGCTTTTATGCCTTTTGGACAAAGAAACAATAAATTTGGGAAGAATTGACAAGCCAAAAGGGTTTGGGCTTGGGGTAGTAAATTGGTGAAGTAACAAGGTTTGTTTACACCTCTGTCTCAGCCCTAAATCCCCTGTCTCTGGCGATAACGGCACCTTCTACCCTCCAGGTGCAGGGAGGGTGCCTTTCATGTGGGAGATTTCTCTGCTGCTTTCAGGGAGACAAAGGAGGGTCAAAATGCCCTTCTTTTGCTGGCTATTCCTCAAGTACCTTCAATTCAAAATAATACGTCAAGTGGCACATTGGGGTGTTGCACTCTGTTCCTCTTCCACAGTCTGGGGTTAGCACAATAGCAATAGGAGAGTTCCGTGTAAGCCCCCAGCCTTCCCCAGCCTCAGAGGCCCGCTCTCTGTGTGCACAGAAGCTCTAGGGGAAGAGTTGTCAGAGACAAGGTTACCAGAAATCTTGAGTTCATGCTCCTGATAAAGGAGCCTCAGTGGTAACCAGACAGAGCCGTGGGAGTCAAATGGGAGTTGAGGTGCGTTTTCGATAACCACTTATGCTCGCTGTTTTTATACAGTGAGCTATTGAGCGGGGTAAATGTTCCCATAAAAGGCCATTCTTATAAAAATTTATCAGAATTTAAACCCTTCTGAGGTTGACCAACTTGCATTTCTCTGCTTAGTTCTGGACTCTTACGTGCCAGTTAATTACAGGAAACCTGAACTCTTCAACTGTGTGCCTCCACGACCAGTTCAAAGTTTTCATCAGAATGAAGTTTGCTTCACTCCATATAAATCAAACAGTTGAAGATTTCGTGAGGAAAACGGACTCATTAATCTAATTAAATGGCTTGCCCAAAGTAAGAATTGCAGAACTGAGATTTGAACTCTAACATCCATGAACATTTTACTACTAAAATTTTTTGGTCATCGCAGACTGAGTTGAGACAATACCAGTAAGGCACATCATTTAGGTAGCTAAAAACAACCAATCAGCTTTAAGGAAATATCTTCTTACCAAGGATGTGATTGTCAATTCTTTCAAATCAGATATTTAACCCTCAGGTTACTTGACATCTCTCCTCTTCTTGTTTCATCATTAATGTTTTGGGTACTTAGCGTTTATTAGTTACCAAGCACAGTTTTTATCCTGGTGGGAGGAAGTTGTAAAAAGAGACCAGGGATTCACACACGTAAGAACAAGGCAGAGAGAAAGCACAGAAAATAAAACCGTTTAAAGCCCACAGTCACATGTTGAAGTTCAACGTAATAAAAGCGTTACTTTTCCCCAGAGGCATCAGTGCCAGGGGGGCGTTTTTCCTCTCCTCTCTGGATGGAAGTTCTAAACTTTTAAGT